ATTAGCTAGCTTTTGATAATGAATAATCTTTTGGATCTCTGAATCACATTCTAGAGTCCGAGGATCTTGCCAATTTAATGATGTTTGATTCCATGAAAGTTCTTTGACCAGCTTGTTTGTCTCACCACCTAAAGAGGGATATACCGATTCATCGAATTGGCAATCCGCATATCTGGCCTTGAAGAGATCTCCAGTGGTTGGCTCGAGATATCTTATGATGGTGGAAGAGTCAAAACCAACATATATTCCCATCCTTCTTTGAGGTCCCATTTTGGTTCGATGTGGTGGAGCAATGGGTACATATACTGAACACCCAAATGTTTTGAGATGTGAGATGTCTGGCTCATGACCCGAGAGTAGTTGGGATGGGGAATATTTGTGTTCACTAGATGGCCGGATGCGTATGAGTTCAGCAGCATGTAATACTGCATGTCCCCATGCTGAGGCCGGGAGCTTTGATCTCATGAGTAATGGTCGGGCTATCCATTGAATGCGTTTAATGAATGATTCAGCCAATCCATTTTGAGTATGGACATGTGCTACAGGATGTTCCACGGTTATCCCCATGGCCATACAGTAGTCATTAAACGCTTGTGAGGTAAATTCACCAGCATTGTCAAGGCGGATAGTCTTTAGTGGGAAGTCAGGGAAATGGGCCCGCAATTTTATGATTTGGGCCAAGAACCTAGCGAAGGCTTGGTTCCGAGAGGACAAGAGACAAACATATGACCAACGGGTCGATGCGTCTATAAGGACCATGAAGTACCGGAATGGTCCGGAAGATGGATGTATAGGTCCACAGATATCGCCCTGGATTCTTTCTAGGAAATGAAGTGTTTGTTTAGAGATTTTAACTGGTGAAGGCCGAGTGATCAATTTGCCTTGAGAACAAGCTGTGCACATGAGGTGTTGAGGATAAGCTCGGTTTTCTTTGAGGGTATGCCCTTGAGAGTTTTGAATTAGTTTACGCATCATATTTGCACCGGGATGACCGAGCCGGTCGTGCCAAATAGTATAATCAGTAAACCGGGCTTTGAGAGTGGTATTAGCTTCAATCATACTGACTTTAGCATGGTAAAGTCCAGTAGAGAGCGCGGGTATGGTTTCGAGGATTTGTTTATGGCCGTCTACGGTTTTAGTGACTAGGAGGGATTCTTTGTTCCCTTGACCTTGGGTTTCTATGTGGAAACCATTCTGTCTTATATCCTTGAAGCTCAGAAGATTTCTCTTCGAACTAGGAGAATATAGAGCATCTGGTATTTCAAGTTGTGTGCCATTTGATAGCAACACATAGGCATGGCCATACCTTCGATAAGGTTTGAGGGACCCACGATGGTGCTAATATTTGCGGTTTGATAGGTTAGGTTTATGAAGTAACTTTTGTTTCTTAAGATAGTGTGGCTGGATCCACTATCTACGACTATGGTTTCCATTTGCTGGTGTGCTTTATTATGAATAGAAGATAGAATTCAGTATTGAGGAATTCAGAAAATGTGATAAATCATAAAGTAAAGTAGTGTCTGAGAATAAAGGCAAATGGAAAAAAAAAAAAATGAAACAAATCCCAAAATGAAAAAAAAATAAAGAACAAAATCAAATTGTATCAGAGTTTCAGATGATTGAATTAATCGAGGAGATCAGCTGTTTCATAGTCCATGGGGTCGGTCTGCTCGTTTGTGGTGTTCTCATCATCAAGGAGGTCGTCACCTTCCAGGTTAGCAGCATCGACTGGCTGAGTCATGTTGGCTTCAGCAGGAGCTTTTCCGTACTTCTGGTATAGATCGCAGTGGATCTTGGGGGTGCGACATTGCTTTGTTGGGTGGTTGAACATCCCACATCTGGTACAAGCAGAGTGATCGGGGTTGGTGTGGCGGGTCGGCTTGGTGATGCCTCGACCACGACCAGGACCATAACTGAGGTTAGGTCGGTTGCCACGACCATGTCCGCGTCCACGACTTCCACGTCCATGTCCTCGGCCATTACCACGTCCATTACCACGTCCACGGCGGTGATCTGAGGATCTATCGGGTTGAACATGGTAGGACTCTTGACGAGAAGCTGGGACAGGAGCCGATCCCGGGGGCCTCATAGCGCTGTTCCTCATAAGCAGCTGGTTATTCTTCTCAGCGAGGAGAAGACAGGACAACAAGTCTTCGTACAATGTGTGTTTCATTGCACGGTATTGTTGTTGGAGCACAACATTCTCTGTGCTGAATGTGGATAATGTTTTCTCGAGGAGATCATTATCTGTCACATCCTCGCCACAGAGTTTCCGGATGGCAACAATACGAAAGAGTTCGTTGTTGTAATCATCTACGGATTTGTAGTCCTGGAACCGAAGGTTCTTCCAGTCGAAATCTGCCTGAGGCAACTGGACCATTTTCTGATGGTCATATCGCTTTTTCAGCGCTTGCCACAATTCAAGTGGATTCTCAAGAGTGAGATATTGCTGCTTAAGGCTCGGGGCCAGATGATGGCGTATGTGACATATCGCCTGAGACTGTCCCTTACGGGATGCGGTGTTACCGTCGGTAATACACGCATCGAGTTCTTTCGATGCAAGGAACAAGCGCATGTCTAGGGCCCACTCGAGGTAGTTATCCCCGGAGACGTGAAGGGCCTCGAATTCACATTTCTGAATGTTTGACATCTGAAACATGAGATTGATTTTGTTAGGGATTGTTTTGAGAAAATTTTGAATGCTGATGATGAAACTTTCTATTTTGAGAATATTTCTATTTTAGGAAAGTTTCTAAATTTGGAAAGTTTCTAATTTGGGTAATTTTCTAAATGAGGAAAGTTTCTATGTCGGGAAAATTTCTATATGAGGAAAGTTTTTATATGAGGAAACTTTCGATTAGAGGGAACTTTCTCGGAAATAGTAAATTTTAAAGGGTATGGTTTTAGTTACCCCGAACATGATGTCGGTTTAATAGCTGTGATTTAATCGGTTAAAGCCGAATATAATTTCGGTTAATGAGAACCAGGTTTAGCCGGTTTTAGGCGGTTTAGGAGGAACCCTAGGGGAGCCGAATATGATTAGGGTTTTATCTAGGGTTTTAACGGTTTGGAAAACATATTTTGGATGTGATTTCGAGATCTATAGGATCTGTGGTCGATGGTTTTAATAATTTCACAAGGACATTAAAGAAATCACGTGAAAAGGACTAGGGTTTAAGCATTATGACTTACGATTTTACGATTTTGAAGATTACAAAATCGTGAATCAAGCTTAGGATTTAGGGTTGATTTTCTTAGTTTATTCAATCAAGTGTTTCAAGCAAGAGAATCAACAATCAAATAAGCTGCAACAAGCTTATTAAACATGAAGAAAATCGAATAGGTTTATGCCATAAACATGGCCAAAAACGGTTGTTAGGTTTTTGTAGATTAGGGTTTTATAAAACGAGTTTAAAACCTTTGAACATGCATAAACTTGTAATTTAAACAATCAATCAACAAGTTATCAATCAATCATCAGAGTATCAAACACTTTCAATCAATTAGAGATCGATTTTTTTTTTTTGTTTTTATAGGGTTTTGAAGTGTTTAAACAACAGGTTTTATGGCTCTCAGTTTTAGAAGATACCTTTTCCACCTTTGGATTTCTGACAGGCTAATGAAACTGGGAGCTAATAGACCTCAGTTAGCCGTTACAAATTCCAAGGATTGATCACCAAAACTGGAGAAGCTGCTGGTTGAAGAAGGAAAAACTCGGATCTGGTTTTTTTTTTTGGGTTGATCGTCGTGTACTGTAAGTGTGCGTGAGGGCGCGTCCGACGTTGGATCGACAAACGGTTTTCACCAGTAGATTCGTCTCGTCGAGGGCTTCGATTTGATATGTAGATCGTCTTCTGGTTCCTCACGGTTTGGAAGATATGCGTCTTTTAAGTTTCGACTTGCTTTTAGGGTTTTGGTGGTGGCCGGATTTATTAGGGTTTTTCGCTCAGAGAGTCTTATCGTGCTGATAACGTGTTGTGAAAACTTCTTAGAAACTTTATTAATCACTGGAATGTATATATAGAGTACATAGGGAATCTAGGTTAAATACAATGCCCTGATGGGCCTAATGGACCGGTATAAGAGTCCATATATGATATGTGTTATAACAAGTATGTATATTTGGATTGAAGTTTTTTTTTGGTAAGAAGTGGGAGGTTGTGTAAAGCGACAAACGACGTCGTGACGGTGATCTTCCTCAATGGAAATCAAGTTTTTGCGGGACGATTAACCCAAAATAATAACAATTTAAAAAATAATAGATCGATTTGGCATGTTGCTAATAATGTCGGAGAAGAGAGCATGTGAACTAGTGACGGATGAACCTGCACAGACCAACCTGCACATGATTGTATTTTGCATATCACAAACAAAAAAACTCCCTTTTGTTTTTCTCTCTTCTTTTTTTCGTTATTCATTTACGTTAAATATCCACCGCACTGCACATTATAGACAACAAACCATTTACGCCTGATTATTCTCTTTGCTATGATCATGTTATTAAGATATATTTATGATCGTTTGAAATAGGAGTTGGAGCTCTTAATCTGGTTTGAGTCTTCTGTTAGAACTAGTAACTTTTGTTTTGGTGACCAGAGTGACTAATAATTTGCAATCTTACAATAAAGCAAACATGTGTATCAAAAGTCCTGCTTCCACCAATAAAACAAAGCTAATAGATTATAAACATTTGGCTATGACTGAAAACTTCAAATTATCATGTGGTTCAAGCCTATTTTCTGAACTCCAAAAATTTGTACTAATATATGTATTAAAGGACGATATAGAGTTCAGCCAATATTACTGAAACTTACATCTGAATTTTGTTTGAACTTTTTAGGGCGAATATAAACCTATCTGCACATTACAAACAGAGTTTGCAGATCTACTGTCTTTTTGGAGTTATACTGTTAAAAAGAAATATAAAGAAATAAAGATACACACAGGCTAGATAAAGATAAGACCACATGTAAGGTTTTGTTGCTACTACATAGTTTACACACACTTCCCACCTTTATTTAAACAACTCTCTCTCCTTCACTCGATCATCATCAGCATCATCATCATCATAATCTCTTTCTTCTTGTACGACTTATAAGCATGGCAAAGTCTCTAGCTGGATTGGCGGTTTTGGCCGCTCTTTTTATGGCGGTTGATGCGTTTAGGCCTTCTGGTTTAACCAATGGTCACGCCACATTCTATGGAGGAAGTGACGCTTCTGGAACAATGGGTAAATTAAACATTTTTAGTTTCATATGAAATAATATGTACAGTATAACCATTTGGTTTTCTTCACTTTCAAATCTTATCCATTGAAGTAGAGTCAAACTATTGTTCCGGTCATCGTATTTTCAGACTTTTTAAACAAAAAGATATTCTAAAATCCCAAAACAGAGACAAGACTTTGACTCTAAACAGATTTTCTTTTCTTTTTGCTGAAATAAAAAAATGAAACTACGAAACTGATTGTTTTTTGTTTTTGCAGGGGGAGCTTGTGGGTACGGAGATCTCTACTCGGCCGGGTACGGGACAATGACGGCGGCGTTAAGCACGGCCTTGTTCAACGACGGAGCTTCTTGCGGCGAGTGCTACAGGATAACGTGCGATTACGCGGCGGACTCACGGTGGTGCAAGAGAGGAGCTTCGGTGGTTATCACTGCCACCAATTTCTGCCCACCAAACTTCGCTCTACCCAACAACGACGGTGGTTGGTGCAATCCGCCGCTCAAACATTTCGATATGGCTCAACCCGCTTGGGAAAAGATCGGAATTTACAGAGGCGGTATCGTTCCCGTCGTTTTCCAAAGGTTAGATTTTTCAAAACACTAAGGGTGTTATTCAATCATGGTTTTAAATAGAATTTAAATCCAACCATAATCCATTATTATTTGATTCTAAATAATATTTTAAAATCAAGTGTTATTGGTTTTTTGATTGTAAATCTGTTTTAAAGTTTGGTGTTATTCAATAAAGATTTTAGTGTTATTCAAAACTAAATAATTTTAAAAATTTTTATACATTAAGTCATTTCAAATCAATTATAATAGAGTTTTTATGAGTAAATTATTAGAATCAAAATCTAGTGTATATTGCATAGATTTTAGAATCTAAACAAATGAATTCATCAAATTGATATCAATTTTTAAATTTAGATGATTATAAAACATAGAAAATTTATTTTAAACTCATGATTGAATAACATCCCCTAAGGTAAAACAAGTCTGATAAAAAAATGACAAATGAACCCATTAACTTTTCATCTGATCTTTCTAGCCCTTAATTATTCTTCTAAAATTAAACCCTCAATTTTGTTCGGTGAATAGAATAACACTTTCAAAAATTTAATATCCTCCTAAAATGAGACAGATGATAGTTTAGGGGTATTTTTAAAAATTTTTGAAAAATTTCTAGAATGAAAAAGTCTCTGCTTTTTTTTTTTTGGCTTGGTGTGTGGGAAAAACAGAGTAAGCTGTTACAAGAAAGGAGGAGTGAGATTCAGGATAAACGGAAGGGATTACTTCGAGCTAGTAAACATATCGAACGTAGGAGGAGCAGGTTCGATCAGATCTGTGTCCATTAAAGGATCAAAGACAGGTTGGTTAGCCATGTCTCGCAACTGGGGAGCTAATTGGCAATCAAACGCTTATCTCGATGGCCAATCTCTCTCTTTCTCCATTACCACAACCGATGGTGCTACAAGAGTCTTCCTCAATGTTGTTCCTTCTTCTTGGTCCTTTGGACAGACTTATTCTTCCAAGATTCAGTTTTAAGGTTTTTCCTTCTTTTTTTTTTCCGTGTCTGAAAAATTATTGGCAGTGGTCGCGCTTTGAGTCTGTTTCTTTTCTCCCGGAGCGACCCGCCGGCTTTGTTTTTCTTTTTGTTTTTTTTTTTCTTCTTTCTGGTTTGATGGGTCTGTTAAAGGAGAAGACCCGATTTGATTTGAGGAAATGATTATACAATACATATATGTAATGTGAATTTGAGCGACTCAAACTCCAAAAGATTCTGTAGCAAAACGAGTTTACCAGGAACAATTCTAACTAAGAGTTTGAAGAAGTACTTAGTAAATTAATGGATTACCATTTGGTTATTCGGTTCGTGATAGAATTGAAATCAGTTTCTTTGTGAGCATTTTGGTTTTGGTTCAACTTCAAATTAGTAGTAAGTAATAGATGGTTTAGTAAAACCCTTAGCTATATAAATAAAAGAGAATTGCGTGTGATCATCGTTTTATAATCGTCTGAAACGCCGATTTGCATATGATCCCGATCTCACGGCTGAGAAAAAAATGGGAATCACGTCGTCTTCATCCACCGAGTCCAGTACCGGAAACAACCAAGTCCCGCCGGAGAAACTGGTGGGAGATCCGATGGCTGACTATCCAGAACCGTTGAAAGCTGCTGTATATAAGTACGAGAGGGATCTCCTCGCCTTGTTCCCGTCGAAACTGGGAGAGTCGGCAACTGAGGCAGAGAGGAAAAAGGATTCTGAAGCGCAGTTTTTCGAGTACATGAGAGGAGGTGCTTGTAAAGACGAATTTAACGCTCACGAAGATTGCGTGGTGGAATCTGGACACCGTAACAAAAAGTGTCATGAAATCTATGCGAAGATGAACAATTGTATGCGTACTCATCATCATTACTATCAACCTTTTCGCAGGAGAGGTCGTGAAGAATTTGCCAGCCTTGGTGGCTGCCAGGAATCTCAAGTGAGAGAGGCAAAAGTTATGGTTGCTCTGTCTTTTCTATCTCCAATAAAGGTCACTACTTAGTTTTTTTTCAGTGAATAAATGTGTCTTCTTCCTGGTTTGCCTTTAGCTATTTCCTCTCCTTGAATGTGATTTGTTGCTTCTGAAACATATATATGCTTTTATTGCATCTCCCTTATCTAATATTGGGTTTGGATACACATTGTTATTCAACATTCTTAGAACAATATCCCCAAATTGATGAATCTGATTTCAGGCCAACCAGAGAAGAATACATAAAAAAGAACAGAATCAAATAGTTTGCTTCCATGGCCTCAGTTTCACTTGAATCATAAACAAAAACATTGAAAGACATTTTACAGTTTTATTATTTTTATGAAAAGTAATATAAACCCTACAAAAGTATTTATTTTGATGAACCAAAAGAATCAAGAACTTGGTCCTGTGATTTGCGCTACCACTAGTCTTCTTGATCTGTTTATAGTGTGGAAACAGAGGAAGAGATGTTCTTCAAGCTCTTGCAATTGCTGTGAGAATCTTTCTTCATGTCCATTAAGCTCTCTCAATCCTTCCTTTAACACTTCTAGCTTCCCACTCTTTGCGCACATCGCAGCTACGGTTTTTCTATGCTCTATCTCATCGCATAATCTCCCGGCAAGTCTACTCAGCGTATCCAAATCATTTATCAAAATGAACATTCCTTTAGCTGCAATGTCCATTTGTGTCCCAAGCTTCTCTAGCGTCGTATGGGTCTTGCTCCTATTCTTCATGTTTCTTTTCACTTTCTTCTTCCTCCAAAGACCCAAAGAGCATAAACCGAGCAAAGCAGGAGCTGCTAAAACGCCGAGTATGCTGTGTAATGCTATGATCAGCAATGTAATAACAATCGCGCTATGAGAAATCACTAGACTATAACCTCCTAGCTTCTTGCAACATCTAATGAACCTGACTTTTCTTCTGATTTTTCTCTTTTTCGATGTCAATCTGGCGAGCAATTCCGAGTTTGCATCATGAACTTTGCGGAACTGAGATTCGTTGATGATACAACACAAAGGGTTTTTCAGCAAGGCGAATCTTGAAAGCTCTTGAAATATCAAAGCGCAGAGCTTTTCAGGGGAACATTCAGCGGTTTTAGCACCGTTACAAACCCTTTTCCCAATCTTGATAACCCTTTTGATTTTGTTGTGATTGATTTTGATTTGTTGGATGCATTGAAGAAGAGACTCACACACATCGCAAGCTTCGGAGCTAAAGTCGAAGAATTTAACGAGGAGATTGTGGAAACTCGAGTCTTGCATCAGAGCATCGAGAGTTTCTTGTGGAGGGTCGAGCAAGTAATCGGTGAAGTGTGAATGGAAGCTAAGATCTGAGGATGAAGGAGAAGTCGTCGAAGAAGAAGAAGAAGAAGGAGAAGAGAGTTTGCTACAAAATGTTATGCCTAATTGATCTTCTGCTTTAGTCCGAATCTCTAAGTAGGAGTTCGTCCTGAAAGCTTCCTTGTACTCCTCGTTAACACTTAGCTTGGACGTCAAGCTATCCTTCTCGGAATTTCCTGCGCCGTTGACAAAAAACAGGTTAGATTACTCGATAAGTTTTTTATTTCTCTAAAAATGAAGAAAAACCATCTCTGGTTGTAGAATAAATTAGCGGAAGTTAAAACATTTCAGCATTCTCTTAATAAAAATTTCAAGAACTGATTAAGAGAAGAAGAAGATAAACAAATCATTAGAATTTTCTTGAGCAAAAGTAGAGAACCAAAAAAAAAAGTTTCACCTTGTCTTGCAGAGGAAGACTTTAATCTAGAACCAAGAAAATTCTTCATTTTCATCATCGATCTTCGATGGAGCTCAAAAGCAGAGGCGATTTAAGTGAATAATAGACAAGCTTCTGGTTTCTTATATACATACGTCTAACTTATGTATGGCGGTTTGTGATTAATTATGTGATTAAATTATAAATATGTAAACGTATATATAAGAATGATTGGTTGGGCAAAGAGAGAGAGAGATGAAACAAGGGAGAAGAAAGAGAAGATTGAGAAGCGACAGCTAGAGAGATGGTGTACGTTAGCATCGCTAAATAGATTTCGCTTTTGAGCTTTGTTCGATATCTTTCGGCGCAAGTTAGAGGGCAAGACACGTCGCTTTTGGACACGTGTTGTGCTCTTGGGGTGGAAGATGACTTGTTAGTTTGGAGAAGAAGTTTCCTTTTACGGTTTTACCCGCGTTGTTTTTCCCTTTTTCTCTATGGATAAATAGTGAAATTCGCCTGGGAAATTAAATTAATTCAGAAAACATAATTCGTGTTGAGAAATTAGTATGGAGTTCCTCGTACGTTTTCCCAAAACGAGTAGCCGCCACGTACACCTCTCTCATAGTCTCATTTCGGATAGTATTATCTGTTTTAGGGCTGGACACAAATATTTGGTACTCGTCCCATACTCATTACTTAACCAGTACTTGTTCCATAAAACCAAGTACTTATTTTAATCAAGTCGAGTATCAAATATCTTAAGAAGATTACTTGCAAGTATAAGGCAAGTATCAAATATTAAAAAAAAAGTTACTACTTGGTTTTATTGACCCGTTACTCGTTTCAAATCTCTGATTTTTTTTTTAATTTTGTTCCACATCGATTACAACATAAAAAAGGAAAGAAAAGTCTGCTTATCAAAAGATAAATAAGTTGCCAGACTTCAATATCTAAAACTTTCCAAAAACCTAAAAGTCAAAATATTAAATATTATCATAGGTTTTAATTAAATATGGCCCAAAATTTTAGTTTTTTTAGTATTCTATTTGTATTTTTACAAGTAACGAGACAAGCCAAGTAACTTGCAAGTAATGAAAAATTTGGCAAGTACTTGAAATTGCAAGTACTTGATATTAACAAGTTAAGTACAAGTACAAATATCTTGATACTTGAACGAGGCAAATCAAGTATCAAGTATACCAAAAATGACAAGTACTCGTCCCGTGCCCAGACCTAATCTGTTTTAGAGAATTCTTAAAACTGGTTTATATATTTTTGTTAATCTTTTGAAAGTTTTTTAAACGAAATTATATTTTTTTACAATTGGGTCAATGTCCCAAGACTCCCAACGCTCGAGCAATACGAAGACGTCGAAGAGTACCCTCTTCTTTCAACTTCATGTAATTGAAATATTTGAATATGATATGAAAATAACTAATTATGGACTTGTTTGACATATTCTTGTTTGACATATTCTTTCTACTTTTCTAGCGTTTAGTAATGGAAGTACTACGTCAAGGTTAATACATTTAATATCATATGAGTTAACAATATTCCGATGTCGTCCAGCGGTTAGGATATCTGGCTTTCACCCAGGAGACCCGGGTTCGATCCCGGCATCGGAGTTTTTTTTTGTTTTTAAATTTTGATGAAACTTATTTGGGCTTCTAGAGACTTTCATGGGCTTTCCTTTCACTAGGCCTGAACCGGAACTAGCCGAATTCCAATTTCTCCTCCTTTTTTTTGCCCTCCTCTTAAATTAGAAAATATAAATCATCAAGATCATGCGATGGCATGCATATTGATGATAAATACATACTTTCCCAAAGTAGCACGAGCACGAGTGCACTCCACTGTGAACCACTAAAAAGGTCGGCGATAAAATCTTTTTTTTTTTTTTAAGATCATACTTCTGGAAGTTGCTGTATATAAAATTTTGTATGATCTCGACTACACATTACTTTTTAAGTACAAGCCTACAAGCTAATGCACTGAGGCCTGCACCACACTCTTCTTTTATTGGCTACTCAACCAATCTTTTGCGAGTTTTATTGATGGGAAGATCAAAGTTTGCTTTTGATTAAACATTTTCAAGGTGACATATAAGAAAAATCAATTTGGTTTTGCTGATTTAAAGTCATATTGACATTACCATTATGTGAACACATATGTATAACTTCATGCTTTGAAATTAATAAAGAAACTTTCAGATTCTTTTATCATGTTTCAAGAATCGTCCGATTCTCAGCACCTAAAAACCCAAAGGTTGTAATCTTATCTAGAGTTTTATTTGGAATTACGTAAAATATAAATATGGGATGAAGTAATCATATTGTTCAAAGTCTTTTGGAACCTCGGAAATAAAAAAAAATAAAAAAAAAATAAAGAAAAATAAACCATGTTGAAGTGATGTAATGACTCGAACAGAAGATAGTGGTCCGATCACTAGCCTGTTATATCTCTCTACTTTTTGCCCAATTCAGACACCCACCAATTCCTCAAAGTGGGATAAGGAATTCAAGCATTAAAGACGCGTGATTCTTTTGATCTATCTCTAGTTTCCAACGATCTCTCAATCATTATAAATACCCTTTTCTTGTGAATAGGTCCTTAAGTGACTAGGAAACTACAAAGAGTCATGAAAGGCCTTACCTTCTTCTTCACACCCTTCTCCTTAATGTTTCTCTATCTTTTATGCATCTCGTTAACGACAGAAACCGAAGCAGGGGTTTACATCGTGTACATGGGATCAGCTTCTTCTGCCGCAAACGCTTATAGAGCTCAGATACTCATAAACACCATGTTTAAGAGGTTATATACAACTACTGAAAATACATGTTTTTGTTATTTACATAAGAGTTTTGTTATGTAGATTCTGAGACCTTGTATGGTTTATTGATGTAGGAGAGGAAATGATATCGTCCATACATATAAACACGGCTTCACTGGTTTCGCAGCTCGTTTGACAGCGGAAGAGGCCACAGTCATAGCCAAGAAACCTGGAGTGGTTTCGGTTTTTCCTGACCCAAACTACCAGCTTCATACAACTCATTCATGGGACTTTCTCAAGTACCAAGAAGCAGTAAAGATCGATTCGGGTCCACCTTCATCAGCAGCTTCAGGTGGATCATATGATAGCATTATCGGCATTCTAGACACAGGTATATTATATATATAACCTTTCTTTTCCCCTGTTTGTGTGTTCACAAACAAAAATACAAAATGAGTTTGATACAATGAAAGAAAACAAACAAACAAACAGGGATATGGCCAGAAGCAGAGAGCTTCAATGACAAAGACATGGGTCCAATTCCGTCTCGGTGGAAAGGTACATGCATGGAAGCAAAGGACTTCAACTCTTCTAACTGTAACAGGTTACAATTGTTCACAACCTCCAATAAAACAATTGGCTGAATATTATTACCAACTTCTTTTTTTTTGAAGAGTACTAAACATTCCTGTTTCTTGATGCAGAAAGATAATTGGAGCAAGATTCTACAAAAATCCTGATGATGATTCAGAATACTTTACCACAAGGGATGTGATCGGTCACGGCTCTCATGTGTCCTCCACTGCAGCTGGATCAGCCGTGGAGAACGCTTCCTACTACGGTGTAGCTTCAGGGACAGCAAAAGGAGGTTCATCAAACGCTAGGATCGCTATGTACAAAGTATGCAACCCGGGAGGATGCACTGGATCCTCTATCTTAGCTGCTTTCGACGATGCAATCGCTGACGGAGTTGATGTATTATCTCTGTCTCTTGGAGCTCCATCATACGCTCGCATAGAGTTGAACACTGATCCTATCGCCATTGGAGCCTTTCATGCGATGGAGCAAGGGATTGTGGTGGTCTGCTCTGCAGGTAATGATGGGCCTGATGTAGGTACAGTTACCAATACTGCACCTTGGATAATGACTGTTGCAGCTAACACAATTGACAGAGACTTAGAGTCTGATGTTGTGCTCGGTGGCAACAAAGTGATTAAGGTAAATGATTACATATAAGACACATCAACACTAAAAATGTTCAGGTTTGCTGATAAGAAGAATCTTAATTGATTTTCAGGGCGAAGGTATACACTTTGGAAATGCTAGTAAATCTCCTGTCTATCCCCTGATTCATGCCAAGTCTGCCAAAAACGCTGATGCTTCAGAAAGAGCAGCCAGGTGAAAAAAAAACAAAACATTGGTGGATTCATATACATACGTTAAGGATAAAGAGGATGACCTTTTTTTCGTTTTGATTAAATACTTGGTTTTCAGGACATGTGAATCTGGTTCTCTAGATCAGGACAAGGTTAAAGGGAAGATTGTGTTATGCGAGAATGTGGATGGATCATATTATGCATCAAACGCTAAGGAGGAGGTGAAGAGCAAGGGAGGTATCGGTTGCATCTTTGTAGATGATATATCAAGAGCTGTTGCTAGCGTTTATGGCGCTTTTCCTACGACCGTAATTGACTCAAAGGAAGCAGCTGAGATCTTCTCCTATCTCAACTCCACAAAGTAGTTAAACTTTGCAATCTCTAAAGTTCTATCAACTGTAATAAGTCAGCAAAGATCTAATGAATGGAAACCTTTCATTGCAGAGATCCTGTTGCAACAATTCTTCCCACTGTTACAGTTGAGAAGTTCACACCCGCGCCTTCTGTTGCATATTTCTCTTCCAGAGGTCCTTCAAGCCTCACAAGAAGCATTCTCAAGGTAAAGTCTCCAAAAAAAACTTGTGATCTTCTTTAGCTTTTTTAAGGGTATCAATGAATTATAGCATGTATTTACTTACTCTATATTTACAGCCTGACATAACAGCACCAGGAGTCGCCATACTCGCTGCTTGGACTGGAAAGGACTCAAGTATTTCACTAGAAGGCAAGCCGCCTTCTCAGTTTAACGTCATATCAGGAACTTCCATGGCGGCTCCTCACGTTACAGCTGTTGCATCTCTGATCAAATCACAGCATCCCACATGGGGTCCATCTGCTATCAGATCAGCTATTATGACCACAGGTTAGAACCCTTGCATTTGTGATTATGGCATGCAAAAATAGCATCTTGTTTTTAACAGTGATTCTTTCACTTTGTCCCACTGGGCAGCGACTCAAACGAACAACGACAAAGGTCTTATAACAACAGAAACTGGCGCAGCAGCCACACCTTATGACGCTGGAGCAGGAGAGCTAAGCACAACAGCATCAATGCAACCAGGACTTGTCTACGAGACTACTGCTACTGACTACTTGACCTTCCTCTGTTACTATGGATACAACATAACCACAATCAAGACTATATCAAAAGCGGTTCCAGAGAATTTCACTTGCCCTGCAGATTCCAAACTAGACTTGATCTCAACCATCAATTACCCGTCAATTTCAATCTCTGGATTCAAGGGAAATGAGAACAAGACAGTGAGTAGGACAGTGACCAATGTTGGTGGAGACGGCGTGGCTGTTTACACAGTCAGCGTGGAAACACCACCAGGGTTTAATATTATAGTGACCCCAGAAAAACTCCAATTTACAAAAGATGGTGAGAAGTTGACATACCAGGTGATAGTCTCTTCTGCTGCTTCACTTAAGCAAGATGTTTTTGGAGCTCTTACTTGGTCTAATGCCAAATACAAGGTGAGAAGCCCAATTGTAATTAGTAGCGAGAGTAGCAGCAAAAACTGAGTAATGGTATGAGACTTCAATATGATGAATGTGGAATAATAAAACTTAATTTAGGGGAAAATAAACTCATGTAGATCAAACTATAAAGCAGGCAGCAGTGCCAAACAGGTTTCTATAAAATCAGAAGGCAGAGACCGTCACGTTTTTGTGACATTATATAACAATATTAATTATTTTTGTGTTATCTACAGCATATAAAGCAGAAGATCAACAATTTTGTCATCAAATTCCTTTAGTCCTACCAATTTTCGAGTGTTAAGTTGCAATTATCACACCCTTGTTAATAACCATGCAGAAAATATCTCCTTAAAGTCAGGCAATCTTTTTTTCACACAAAGGGAGTGTGTCTAGTGAAGTACTTGCACTTCTCCCATTAAAAGAGCCAGGGCTTAAACATCAATGTAACATTCTGATGAAATTATATGTTTGTGAGGCAAGAGTTAAAGGAAAACTGGAAGCATTCTTGTCTAGTTTCTTGAAGTTCAGTGATGACGAAATGCCCCATTGTCAACTTCATCTTCTTTTTGTTTCTTTTTCTGTCTGTGATCCAAAACTGTGAGTCTGAAACAAGAAATTCAGGAGATTATATAATATACATGGGAGCAGCATCCTCGGATGGCTCAACAGGCAATGACCATGTTGAGCTTCTGAGCTCATTGTTTAAGCGGTGATAACCAAAATCCAAAGCTCTTTGATTTTCTAACCATGATTCATGTTATGCAAATAATTAGACGACAGTATCTTACTTGCATCAGGAGCGGCAAATCACCAACGCACAGATACAAGCATGGGTTCTCTGGATTCGCAGCCCATTTATCAGAAGAGGAAGCACGCATCATGGCCAATCAACCAGGAGTGGTGTCTGTCTTTCCTGATCAGATATTACCGCTGCACACAACTCGTTCATGGGATTTCTTGGTGCAAGAAAGTTATCAAAGAGAGACTTACTTCACTGATATGAACTCTCAACCAGAATTAGATGTGGCAGTAGGAGACACCATTATCGGCTTCATTGATTCAGGTGAACGTATTGGAGCAGTGAAGTATATACATGCATGCATTTTCTGTCTACTTCCAGTAAATCAGATTTCAATGCAGAGCATTTTCTGATGGTGAAAACAGGAATCTGGCCCGAGTCGCAGAGCTTTGAGGACAGGCACATGCGTCCAGTCCCAGCGAAATGGAAGGGCACTTGCATGAGAGGGAAGAAGACACAACCTGATTCTTTCCGTTGCAATAAGTAAGCAGAGCCTAAAGGAAAACTAGACCAAAAACATGTTTGAATCCACCACATTGTACATAACGTTTTAGAGTTGCATAACCAGGAAATTAATAGGAGCAAGGTACTACAATTCGTCATTCCTCATAGACCCGGATTATGAGACACCACGAGACTTTTTGGGGCACGGGACACACGTGGCGTCAATAGCAGCAGGGAGAATAATCTCTGATGCATCCTACTATGGCCTGGCAGGAGGAATCATGAGAGGAGGATCACCAAGTTCAAGAATAGCAATGTACAGAGCGTGCTCACTCCTAGGCTGCCGTGGCTCTAGCATACTAGCTGCATTTGATGATGCGATCGCCGATGGAGTTGATGTCATATCGATATCGATGGGAGTATGGCCAGACAATCTACTTGAAAATCCGCTTTCCATCGGTTCATTTCATGCCGTGGAAAGAGGGATCACTGTTGTTTGCTCTGCAGGAAATGATGGCCCTTCGAGTCAGTCAGTGGTTAATGCTGCTCCTTGGATGATCACTGTTGCTGCCAGCACTATTGACCGTGGCTTTGAGTCCAACATTCTCCTCGGAGGAAATAAAAGCAGATTGGTCGAGGTACTAGGAAGAAAATCAGGAAAACCGACCATTCTATTTATACAGAAGCTAAAATCTTTCATTTATACTGCAGGGGGTTGGTATAAATATAGCCAACATTGGTAAATCTCAAGCTAACCAGCTTATACATGCACGATCAGCCAAGAAGATTGATGCTAATGAGGAAGCAGCTAGGTAACAGTTGTTGTCTGTTAACATTTTACAGTAACTTTGCTTTGGTGCTAACAAGACAAACATCAAATATGCAAACCCTTCAGAAACTGTGCGCCTGACACAATGAACAAAACCATCGTTGAGGGAAAGATTGTTGTGTGCGACAATGATGTTGGTAACCAGGTGATCCAATGGAAAAGCGAAGAGGTTAAGAGACTTGGAGGTACCGGTATGATAATCATAGACGACAAGTCACTGGATCTGTCTTACATTGATCCCTCGTTTCTAGTGACAATAGTAAAACCAGTGGACGGGCTACGAATCATGTCCTACATTAATTCAACAAGGTAAACAATAAGATTTCTCATTTCATAAAGATATTTTGCACTCAAAACAGAAAACTAATATATCAAAATCCACTTTGTAGAGAACCAATTGCAACGATCATGCCTACAAGATCACGAACAGGACATATGTTAGCACCGTCCATACCATCCTTCTCATCAAGAGGTCCTTACTTGCTTACCAGAAGCCTCCTCAAGGTATATAAAAAAAAGCACTCGGTGTCACTATAAACATGCTCATTTTGATGAATTAAACTCCATGAGAGACCTGTTACAGCCTGATATTGCAGCTCCCGGGGTCAACATACTGGGATCCTGGCCAATTGGTGACATAAATGCAGCACCAGAAGGCAAGCCACCTCCACTAGTCAACATCGAATCAGGGACTTCAATGTCATGTCCCCATGTCTCTGGGATCGCTGCTCGTCTCAAATCTGAAAACCCTTCCTGGAGTCCTGCAGCAATCAGATCTGCCATCATGACAACAGGTGAGAAATCAAAATCATAGCAAGTAGAGTTCAGTTACAGATCTTTATTCTTACACTCTCTATCTGCAGCTGTGCAAAAGACCAACACAGGATCCCATATAACTACAGAAACAGGTGCCAAGGCCACACCTTATGACTTTGGTGCAGGGCAGGTTACAATATTTGGGCCTTCGTCACCTGGACTGTTTTATGAAACCAATCAAACGGACTACCTGAATTTCCTCTGCTACTATGGGTTCAATTCTGATCAGGTCAGAAAGATCTCAAACCGCAAACCACAAGGTTTTACTTGTCCTGAACAAAGCAACAGGGGAGACATATCTAATATCAACTACCCATCAATCTCAATTTCCAACTTCAATGGAGAAGAAAGCAGAAGGGTAAGAAGAAGATTGACAAATGTAGCATCACGCCTCATTGGAGACGAAGATACTGTCTACACTGTGAGCATCGATGCACCCAAAGGGCTACGAGTCAGAGTTACACCAAGAAGGCTACATTTTAGGAAGATAGGAGATACACTAAGCTACCAAGCGATCTTTTCATCTTCTACATCCACACTCAAAGAAGACGCGTTTGGATCGATCACATGGTCTAACGGAATGTACAGCGTTAGGAGTCCGTTTGCTGTAACCAGCAAAGCTGATGATAGCGATCAATGATAAATCTAGAGAGGATGTGTATTCGATAAAGAATAGAACTAAAAGAGGAATAAGCAAGACCAATTCTTGAGATGGTTTCATTAAAACCAGACACAACTTTGTTAGTAGAACAACTGCATTAGGTAGGTTTCTAGACTAAATGACAAGAGCAAACCAAAAGAAGAGAAAGAAAGAAAAAAAGATAATCTGCAAATAGTAGAAAGACTAGACAAAAGACTTCAACTTTATCCTAAACACCGATCCAATCCAAATCACTCGAACGCCCATTGATTCTCCCTGCGAACCTCCTCTTCTTCCTCTTTTGTGTAGTCGTTCTTGATGTTGAAGATCTCACGCATCTGCTCCGGAGTTTTGCCTCTCATCATATCGGCCACAGTCTTGCACGTCAGGTCAAGAAGTCCGGTGATGTTCAGATAGTTAGCAGCCTAAAGATCAAAGACACAAATTTTTAATAAGCAAAATCAAGATTACGAATCTCTACACACAACCAAAACCCTAACACATCAAGACCAACTTTCCCAATTAGAAACCCTAGGAACATCAGAGAAAAGGGGAAGCAATTGGAAACAAAATACTAGCCAGGATGAGATCGAAGAGCGTGGCCTGGTCGACATTGACGAAAGCGGCGTCCCAGGTCTTGAGCTCATTGTCTTCATCGGTGGGAGCACAGATATCCTTTTCACCGGAGCTAGCGGCGGCGGCGGCGTCGACGTGCTTCTTGCAGTACTCGATAACCTTCGAGAGGATGGCACTGTTAACGTTAGGAAGCGGGATTCCGTTACCGGCGCAGTCGTCTTCGATCATGTGCTTAATCGTCTGGGACTCGACCGCTACGGCTTCGTCGACCTCGAACGATTCGCCGTCGGAGCTCCTGAGGACGATCTTCTTCGACATAATTGCAAGTGTATCGGAAAATAAATTAAGAGGAAAAAAATCAGGTGATTTCGAAATCGGCGTTTGCTTTGAAAGAGATGATGAAGACAATTGGTGCTTAATTTATAGCGAAACCTAGTCAAACCAAAATCTTAAGTCGGTTTGTTGCTTCTAAGTATTTTTCTCATCTCATTATGCTTTTAAGTATTTTTTACAAAGAGCGTTCGTTTTAAAGTTTTATTTTGGTTTCACATTTGTTTTATATTTTCAATGCAAATTTTAAATAATATTTCAGTTTTAACTCTAATAATTTAATGTATTTATTAAATAAAAACATATTATTTAATGTATTAATAAAGAACAAAATTATATTTTTAATAATTTTCTTAATATGTGTAAAAAATGTCAGAATGACACTCTTTATAAAACGAAAGGAATATTATCCTTTTATTTATGAATAAAAAAGGGTGTGACAATATTTACAAATCTGAATTTTAGGAAATATAGTGTATCCATATCTACTACGTGTACAAAAATTATCAACTTCGCACAATAAACTTTTATAAATTAATAAAATAAAATCATAATATTTTCTATAAAAAAATTTGAAATAATGTTATATTTTAAAATTTTAACAAATCTCGTACTGTAAATTATTATCAACCATAACTATTCTAATAAAATAGTTTGTAGTACCTTATTAAATTGTTTATATAAAAATATACATATTTATAAATTGAAAATTTATAAAAAAAATTATGTACTATTCGTAACATGGAGTTAACTCGTAAAAAAAAACTCATAACAACAAATATGTTTATATTATAGTAACATTGTTGGGTGGTTAATGCGCATTGGATAGCTACCGTACATTAGTTTGGATTCATTAATATGTTACAAAGATTTAGTGCTCCATCGTTCATTTTTATAATATTTTCATCTCGTGATAAACTTATAAATAGGTACGACATTATGTTTGGATTTTGTTTCATTCTAGTTTAGGGTTTAGTTTTTTCTTATGTGTTTTTTATTAATAGTTTGTTGTATATTAATCAGTTTGGATTGACTAATCTTTTATCAAAATTTAGTGTTCTATCGTTTAAAATATTATCATCTTGTTACTTAGTTACAACATTATTTTTTGGTTCTTTTAATTCCAATTAAGGTTTATATTTTCTTTCATGTATATGTTTTATGGATTGTCTACTAAAAAATAATTAATCGGGTTAGGTTCATGAATCCTATACAATGGTTTAGTGCTATATATATATATATATGTATATAGCTTTAAAAATATTATCATCTAGTTAGGTAGTTAAGATATTATGTTTGACTTTTTCTCATTCCAGATTAGTGTATAGATTTTCTATTATTTGTTACTAATTTTATATTTCTAGTATGTTTATTAATTAATTTAAATTGTATGTTTTGTATTTCTATTTAAATATAATATTAGATGTCACATTTAAATTGTAGAGGGTGAATAAAATGATTTATCCAATAACTTTTTTTAAGGTGTAGCCCCTATGATTTTAATATTTTTTATAATTTTATTAGAACAAAAGTATATACAGTATATCTATAAATTTTACTAGGTTTTTTGTATTGTACATATGTAACTACGAATGTATGATGTATATAAACCAAAGAAAGTAATTTGTAGGCTACGGGTGAACATATATATGTCAACTCATGGGTATTTTCGTCGATAAATATTAATAAAAGTACATATATATATGTCAACTACTCATGTGAACATATATATGTCAACTCATGAAAGTACTACCTATGCTGCTATGCATACTAGGTTGGTCAAAGATGTTACATCTTCAAATCGCGCTATTATTTTTCTTCACAGCATGTAAAATACAGGCCGGGAATAACTAGTGAGCGTCCACTGGTCACACTTCTGTGTTCTCCACCAAATCAAGGTTTCGATTATGGCTGTTGTCTTCAAGAGTTAGATGGTCACTGAAGACAACAAATTAAAACATATGCAATACGAGCTTTGATTAAGATAAGTTCAAGATAATCTTTATTTTGACGTACAAAAATCGATCGATAATCAATAGAGTGACTAAAAGAAGGGCACATAATATTTGAATTGCGTACGTGAACTAAAAGAAAGGCACATAATGTTAAGCAAATAGTTACTACTCAAGATAAATGGTGGCTGTATCTATCGACGAGTAATTTCGTTAAGATTTTATAAAATCTTTGGGTAGGATGGAAACTATCCCAAAACACGTAAGCAGATATATTGGAGCACACAAATGTTGTGAATCGATTGCAGAGTGGACCAGCTTCCACAAGTCCAGTTCCACAACACCCTTTCTTTATTTCCTCAAACCCTGCCATAATTTCCTAAAGTTGTTATATATATATATATATATATATCTCTAGACGATATATACTACTACTTAAAAAGAAATTGCGTGCGTTCTAGAATTACCATAATCTTGTGGATTCTCTATGATTTGACTGAAAGCAGAGTAGAGGTCGATGTAAAAAAAATTAGAATGTGGTAGGTTTTTTGCTAATTGATCCAAAGTGATGGAGAGTTTTGCGTTGAAAAGCTGAGAAGCATAGTTTAGATCTTGAGCACAATCTCTACGATGACCACCTTTTAGAGTTCTTTGTGATGGTACGCATCCAATTGGTGGTGTTCCTACTACTGCTATTTGTCTTGCTCCATATCCATGTAACTGCTGCTCAATTATATCCATATTATTATTAGCTCAGTAAGTTAATATTTGCATAAACACCTCCCATAAAATTAACGTGAAGTTTTTGTTTTAAAATTATTGTTGTTTCAGACTAATTTTAAATAGAGTTTGATACAACAAAACGAATCATGTGGCAGAATTGAACTTTAAAAAGAAAAAAAGGATGGATGAATTAAACGTGAATACCAGTATGAAACTTGCGGCAGAATTAGCCATCTTTGAAGTGAAGTAGTGAATATCGTCTTTGAGCCATTGAGCACCTTGACCATAGTATGTAATGGCTAGATCGTTGCTGCCTGCTACTACAATGGCTAAGCCCTTGGCTAATAGGTGATCTGTCTTCTCTTGCCCTACTAAGCTCTTTACTCTCGCTACGTATTGTTGGAAATATGTCAATTGGTCCAACAATGAGATTACTCTCTGATTAAATTTTGACAAATGATCATTAGGATAAATTAAAAGTTTATATATATAATCTAGAGGGGATTATTTTTATCTTACATATATTTTGGATGTCAAATGGTAGTAGCCACTACCACCCGAAGCAAATGATACACCGTTGAGAAGTTCTTCTGGTTGTACGTTTGGGTCGAAATATGCCGGTACAATCGGGTTTAGTCCTAAATATTCGGCTATGGAGGAATTCAGAAAAGAAAGAAATTATCATACATAAAAATCGACCGGAACTCTACTCGATATTTTGTCATAGTATTTAAAAAACAACACTATACAATATTTTTCCTCTGGTAAAGCCACTAAGTGTTATCCACTTGACAAATTAACAAATATGAAATTTTAACCCAGTTTAAAAATAGTCATGGAAGAAACATCATATATTGGGCGAAGTAAAGAGAAAGAGAGAGAGAAGGAGAGAACGAACATATGTAATCAGAAGCGACCTTTCCATTGCTGAATCGACCGGTGGCAACTCCGAGAGGAAAATCCATGCCATAGGGACGAAAATTACATTTCATTTCTGTTGTTAGATTATTATTATTTCCTGTGTCTATGATCGAATCCCCAAAGTAAAACACCGCCGGGGTTGTCCGGTTCCGTGGTGATGGGGACGGGCCAGGTGGTGGGCCTGGGCCAGATTCTTGTGGTGGCCCTGGCCATACTCGTTGGTGGTCGATCACTTGGGAATGGGTCGTCGTCACGAAGAAGATACAAAATGATGATAAGAGAATGAAAACACATGCAATTAATCTCGAATTAATCATCCTATATTGTTTCATGGTCCTATAACTAGCAATCTCTGGCCAAAAAAAAGGAAGTTCACCAAGGATACTATTTGCATGTGTGTTTATACTTTATACCAGTTATAATGATGTCATTACGTATGTGTGTCTACTTTTTACCATACTTGGACATGCGATTTATGTGCCGTGTTAAACTTGCGTGTAAATCAAGGCTTCTTTTATTATACGTTTCGAGACTTTCCTCATATTAAGCTTCAAATTTCCTTATTAATTAAGGTCCAAAGTAGTGTTCCTACGGAAGCGTAAACCAGTTGCAAATCGTTCTGCCAAGAAGTGGTTTAAAAAAGAAATGAAAAGTAAAAAAAAAAAGCAACTACCCGATCAAAATAAAAGAGGGATGTATTTTTTAACAAGTATTTTCGTTAAGATTTCATAGAATCTATGCGACGGATGCAGACTATCCCAAAACAGATAAGCAGATATATTGCTACACACAGATGATGTTTCTTGGTTGCAAAGTGGACCTGTTTCCACTAGTCCGGTTCCACAACAACCTTGTTTTATCACTTCAAACCCTACAATAATTTCCAAATATAAGTTATATATTTAATTAATATGAACCTTATATAGTTACAAAAAAAGAAAAAGACTGCGATCCAAAATTACCGTAATCTGCGTGGTTTTCTAGAATTTGGCTGAAAGGAGAATAGATGTCGATGAAAATCAGTTTAGAACCCGGTAGATTTTTTGCCAATTGACCTAAAGCAATGGAGAGTTTGGAATTGAAAAGCTGAGCAACATCGTTAACATCTTGAGCACAGTTTCTATGATGACCTCCTTTCAATGTTCTTTGTGCCGGTATACATCCCAGTGGTGTTATTCCCGCCACTCCTATATGTCTTGCTCCATATCCATATAATTGCTGTTCAGAAATATTATTTCTGATCACTATCAACTTGGGAAGTTATTTTGTGAAGTAAGTCCGTATTTCATGAGGTAAAACTATGAAAGATACAAAAATATTCAAAGGGATGGAAAGAAGCAAGCATACCATGGCGAAACTGGCGGCAGAATCAACCAATTTAGAGGTAAAAGAGTAAATATCGTCTTTGACCCATTGAGCACCTGGACCAAAATACGTAATGCCCACATCGTTGCTACCTGCGATTACAATGGCTAAGCCATTGGCTATTATCTGATCGCCCTTCTCTTGTCCTACTAGCTTCTTCACTCTCGCTATGTATTGTTGGAAATATGTCAACTGGTCCGACATTGGTATCACGTTCTGGTTTTAATTATTTTCATTAATATATAAGATCAAATGATTAGTGGGATAAGTTTAAAGATGGAGAGCTAATCAGTAATTAGTTATTGGTGGTTAGAGGAGATCAATTCGAGTTTACCAAATATTTGGGTGTCAAAGGCATGTAACCACTGCCACCCGAAGCAAAGCACACACCGGTGATTAAATCATCTGGTTGCAGTCTTGGGTCCAAATATGCTGGTACGACCGGTTTTATTCCCAAAAATTCCGCTGTAAAAGATCAAAATCAATATGGTATTTGAAAAAGGAAATTAAATTGACCTATTTTTCCATATTATATATATATATATGTCAAATTAATTAACCTATCTTAATCCATTAACCTATCAAAATCTTAGTATCTTACTACTCCACCAATTGTTTGTTTGCGTTTTACATATGCATTTTCGTGTTAAATACCTTATCATGGAAATGCAAACACCAACGTAAAGGCATAAAAAGAAGCGGGGTCTAAATAGAACGAGAATTACCATGCTGACTATAATGTAAAAGAAGGCGAAATTTATGGAAATAATAACCTAAAAAATCAGAAGGAACTTTGCCATCGCAATATCTACCAGTGGGAACGCCCTTTACGAAATTAATACCATATGGTCGAAAATTACACCTTAGAGGTGTGCTTATGTTATTATTATTTCCTGTGTCGACAAGCGAATCCCCAAATACAAACACTGCCGGTACGGTTACGTTCTTTGGTGGCTGAGGTGGTGGAGATGGGCTCAGTAGGCCTGTTGATGGGCCTATATTTGGATATGGATCAGGTGGTGGTGGTGGCATCGGTAGAGGCTTACGTGGTGTTGGTGGGCATGGTGAATTGGTTGTGGCGAACAAGATACAAAAGGATACGAGAAAGGTAGCAAACCGAATTAGTCTATATTGCTTCATCAATATCTCAAATTTTTACCTTTCTGCTAATGAGGTCACTTTACCACAGTCAGGTCACTATATATAAACATAAAGATTCGAACATGAGATGTATGTGACCGTGTGTGGAGTTATTTGTGTGTCTCTCCGATCACACATTTTGAAGCTTCCTAATATTTAGCTTCTACTGCGGTTGCCCGTTGCCGATCAAATTTACGTTTATTACTCAAGACTCAAGAAGCTCATGAGAAAGAGAGTTATTTGAAGACATCAATTAATGTCTGTCATTTCTAGATGTCCACATAGTTTTCTAGATTATACAATGGAGTTTTAGAGGTGACAATAATTAAGAACCCATGTGAAACCACATACAAAGTTATACAAATTAACGTTATCGTCTCTAATTAGTGAGGCACCGAACTACACAAATATGTTATTGCTTTATGCGACTTGGTTTGAATCAGTTGGATATCTCTACCGGCCACTTAATTTACATTTTAATATTTTATATCATTTTTCACTTTCTCTAATAATGAGAAATACCGGAGTAAATGACACTGGTTAGAGAATAATGTGGTTACACCAGCTTGGTTATATGCCAGTTGGGATAATATAAAATTCTCTGTCGCAATAATTTAATTTAATCTAACATAAAGTGTTCTTCTATATAATTATCTTCGACATTCTCTGTCGATTCTTTTGAACTCTACATCTAATAATGAACGCCAAGTGCTTTATCTACATACGGGAATTCAATTGTTAGAATGCTAAAATGTACCGTGTTGGCTTTTTAGGAGCCTAAAAAATATAAATGTCAAGAACAAATACTAACTGCATTTCGTGGTTTCTGTTTTTGCATTTTCCAATTTATAGGGTTTAGATTTCTCCAAATTAAATAAGATTTCTGAGTCATTTTAATATTAAATTTGTGCTATTATTAAAAATAAAAAAAACTAGTATTGCTAAGTTTAAAACATAAACTGAAAATATGTTATTTTAAAGAATTTCCCTCAAATGTATTTAAATACCACACCACAATCATGCTCATAAACTAATATAAACATGACTCGATGAGGATTCGTTTGAGACAGAAGAACAAATCTTACGTAACTATCTCAAATGTCGTTTGATTAACTACATTATTAGTCACAGAAACGGCCCATATATGTCTACATCATTAATACATTGCAAAAGTTTCTTTTCGTAAGATAAAAAGATAAATAATGTAATAACAATAGTAATTAATCAGATAAAACGTAGGTATTCTTTTACAAGTATTTTGTTTAAGGTTTCATAAGCTCTTTGAGTGGGATGGGCACCGTCCCAAAACACATAAGACGATGTATTGGGACATATTTTTGATGTTGACTTTTTGCAAAATACACCTCCTCCCAATGATCTGACTTTGCAACATGGTTTCTTTATCTCCTCAAACCCTGCATGTAAATATTTTTCCAATTCATATATGATCAGATATTATAAACAACTTATATACATATATATATATGATTTGTCTCATCAGTAAAAAAAATTACCATAATCCGCTGGGCTTTCTAGGATCTGACTGAAGATAGAGTAGATGTCCATATAAACCAGTGTGGAATTTGGTAGAGTTCTTGACAGTTGACCCATAATAATGAGGAGTTTAGAATTGAAAAGCTGAGCAGCATAATTTAGTTCTTCATTACATTTTTTTTCCTTTTTAACTCTTTGTGATGGTGTACATCCAAGTGGTGGTGTTCCGATAACTCCTATACGTCTTGCTCCATATCCATACAATTGCTGCCCAAATATTTGCATTTACATTATCTTTCATTTTTATGATGAAAACTTACATTGTTCTTAATTACTTTACGAAAATGTAATTTACGATGATAATAATACTTACCAGAACGAAACTGGCGGCAGAATCAGCCATGATAGTGGTGTATGAGTCGACGTCATTTTTGAGGCGTTGAGCACCACTTCCAAAATATGTATTAATTAGATCATTGCCTCCTGCGACCACAATGGCTACTCCTTTGGCTACTATTTGATCGGTCTTCTTTTGTCCTACTAACTTCTTCAGTCTCTCTTTGTAGTCTTGGAAATATGTCAATTGATCCAACATTGGTATTACCTCCTGATTTAAATAAATCAGAGTAAATGATCAGTACATAGATTAATGACAATTAACGTTGCAGATAATAATAATAATGACCTAAGGGGGTTGATTCGATCTTTAATTACCAGTTCTTCAGATGTTTCAGGATTGTAGCCAGCACCACCCGAAGCAAAAGACACGCCAGTTAGAAGATCGCTTTGTTGTAGCTCGTTTTGTTGTAGTTTCTTGTCTAAATATGCCGGTACAATTTCTTTTACTCCCAAATATTTGGCTAGTGGAATCAGGAAACAAAGAGAAAAGTAATTAGAGGAATTGTTAAGGCAATTTCAATGGAAAGAACACATAGTTTGGCCCAAAAGAAAAGGAGGGTGAGAGAGAGAGAGGGTGAGAGAGAGAGAGAGAGAGAGAGAGAGAGAGAGAGAGAGAGAGAGAGAGAGAGAGAGAGAGAGTACGGACATATATAATCGGAAGCGACCTTTCCGTTGCTGAATCTACCGGTGGCAACTCCCATAGGAAAATCCATACCATAGGGACGATAATTACTCTTTACCTTTGTATCTAGATTGTTGTTATTTCCTGTGTCAAAGATCGAATCCCCAAAGAAAAACACGGCCGATATGGTTTTGTTTTCTGGCTTAGGTGGTGATGGGCCAGGTGGCTTAGGTGGTGATGGTTTTGGCGATGGGGCAGGTGGTTTAGGAGCTGGCCCAGGTGGCTTAGGTGTGATGGTTTTGGGTCTGGCTTTGGAGATGGAGCAGGGGCTGGTGTGGTTTGGTTGAAGGCTTTTGGTGGTTGCGGTGGGCATGGAGACGGACCAGGGGCTGGTGGTGGCTTTGGTTGAGGCTTAGGTGGTGTTGGTGGGCATGGAGATGGACCAGGGGGTGGTGGAGGCTTTGGCTGAGGCTTAGGTGGTGTTGGTGGGCATGGAGATGGGGCAGGTGGTGGACCAGGCTTTGGTGATGGGCCTGGTGGTGGGCGAGGTTGTGGTGGGTCCAACGGCCACGGTTGTGGCTGGAACCCTGGAAATGGCCAAGGCCTTGATGGCCACGGCCAGAGCCGTCGGTGGACTACTTGGGCATGCGTCGTCGTCACGAAGAAGATACAAAAGGATATGAGAAAGAAAACAAAACGAAATATTCTCGAATTTGAACAAGAATTGACCATGGAAGGTTGCTTCATGCTTTTACTACAAGTAGTACGACAATTTTCATTCAAGTGTTGGCTACTGTCATGTCAATATTTCAATATGTATGGGCGTATGATGAATATATATGCATTACGTAAATTTTGACACGCGATATATGTGGCCGTGTTGAAGTTGCTTTTGTCTCAAGGCTTCTCTCATCACACATTTTGAGATACTTTCCTTACATTCAGTTTCCAGTCGGAACTTTACTCTCTCTCAAGCATATTCCGTGACTTCTTAGAACTTAACTCACTCTCACGAACCTTCAATATGTAGATTTTTACCCCAAAAAAAAATATCATATTGAAGTTAGGAATTATGGCTACGTAAAATAGCTTCCCACACAAGACACAACTTGAGTGATGATAGCTTTAGGATTGTACATGTCTGAAGGCGCAAAGTTCCTAGTGGATTGGCCTTTCTGTAGACTCTCGTTATCGTTAATGGCCTTGTTATGGATTTCTCTCTGTTGGAATGAGATTGTTTCGATTAAGTGAAACAAGAAGAAGAATGGATTTTTTTTATTATTTTGGTTGAATTCATCAAACAAAAATTTAACCCCATTTTCACACCTTTTGTAGTTTTGTTTACTTAGCAGCGTCTATTTTCAAAGAGGAGCAAATTTGAAATTATATTGTTCAAATGGTAAAAGTTGATCGATCAATCCCTCATCATTTCTGGGTCCGATTATCGTCAAAAATACAGAATATGAATGTTTTAGAAAATAGTTGAATTTCTTGTTCCATGTCAATATATGTACCAGACAATTTTCATGGATTAAGACATATATATATATATATAATGGATTAAGACATTAAACCAAATGAGGAACAGCTTTTATTTTTAGCCAAATTACATCATCAAAGGTGTCATCTTAAAACTACAGTTATTTGTCATAGAAAGGGCTCAGGTCATCCTCTACAAACTTTTTGGTTAAAATCCTATAAGCTCGTTCTGTTGGATGGTAACTGTCCCAAAACATATAAGAAGACACGTTGTTACAAAGAAGTGATGTAAATTGGTTGCAAAGCGGACCTAATTCGATCAGCCCTGTCCCACAACATCCTTTATCAATCTCATCAAATCCTGCAAAAATTCCCAAAATGTAAAAAAAAAAAGAAAGAAAGATATAATCTCAAACTCATTCACATATATATGCATAATACAACGTGTGGCTGAACATTACCATATTCCTCTGGATTTTGGATCATATGAGTGAAGAGAGAGTAGATGTCAATATACACCAAAGTGGCGTTCTTCAAGGTTTCAGCCATTGAATGCAAACTTGTAGAGAGTTTGGAATTAAAAAGCTGAGCTGCAACGTTTACTTCATCAGCACACTTTCTATGAAGTCCTCCTCTTGCGGTTCTCTGAATTGGTATACACCCGATTGGCGAAACACCAATGAATCCTATTTTTCTTGCTCCAGATTCATATAGTTGCTGCCAAAATTTAAATTTTATTCATTAGGTTTTTTCTAAGCAATTGGATCAGAGATTAGCTAGTTATTTACAACGTACCATAGCGAAACTTGCAGCAGAGGTAGCCATAAAAGAGGTATATGAATCGATGTCATATAAGAATTCTTCTGTATGTGTACCATAGTATGTATTGGCTAGATCATCGCTGCCCGCAATCACAATAGCTAGGCTTTTGGATATTATGTGTTCAGCTTTCTCTTTTCCCGCAAAGCCTTTCACTTTCTCGATGTATTCTTGAAAATATGTCAATTGGTCCGACATCGGTATCGCCCTCTTTGGGAAAACATTGATAACACAAGAAACCATAATGAAAAAAGGTTTTAAAATAAAAGAGAGAGCTAGTTAGAAAGGTAAGGAATTTGATGTTCTTACTACTTCTATAGGTGTCAAAGGATCATAGCCAGAACCACCCGAAGCAAAGGAGACACCAGTGAGGAGATCTTCTCGGGTCAGTCCCGGTCTCAAGTATGGTGGTAAAACTGGTTTTATTCCTAAGAATTCCGCTGTGATTTTCAGAAGAAGAAGAAAGAAAAGGCCATCAAGATCAATTTTCAGAGAAATGTTTCCATTGGGTAATGTATCTGATGCAATAGCATGTGAGCTTACGTAGTTATTATAATTTTCATAAATTAATAGTTTATATGTTTGATATAAAGACATGATAAAAGAAAAGGCAAAGTCACCTATAAAATCAGAAGAATGATTCCATTGAGTTATGCATGAATATATTTTACGTATAATTTTTATAATTTAATAGTTTCTATGTTTGATCTAAAGACATGATCAAATGAAAGGCAAAGTCACCTATAAAATCAGAAGGGATTTTTCCATTGCAAAATCTGCCGGTGGGAACTCCGTGTGGGAAATTCATACCGTAAGGCAGAAAATTAGCTCTGACCAACGTTAAAATGTAATTGTTATTTCCTGTGTCTACGATTGAATCCCCAAATGCAAATATGGCAGGAAACGTCGTGTTGCGTGCACCAGGTGGCGTTGGGGTAGGTGCTGGCCTTGGACTTGGACCTGGCTTTGGCTCTGGACTTGGACATGGATTTGGCCCTGGAGTTGGACCTGGCTTTCGAACTTGTTGTAAGCGGTTTGCTGAAGCATACATTTGCACGAAGAAAATATAAGAGAGTGAGAGAAACAAAACACATCGAGATAATTTTGAACTAGACAAAGAATAAGAACGTGAAACCACACGATCATGCAACATCTTGGGCTATATGATCTAATATGTCTGATAAGGAAAAAAAAAGAACTTTGTTATATATGAAACTCAAAAATATAAAGGAGTGTGTCACAAAAGAATCTTTACTCAGATAGACAAAAAAGTATGGACACAAGCATGCGGTTTAAATGGTTATAAGAGGACGATGCTTATCTCTTATTGCTTCTTATATTCACACACTTCAAACTTTCCTTATATTCCGGCGGAATAATTCCGCAAACCATCCATGATCACTACTCTCACTCTCGTATATTCATAATTTCGCATTACTATCTACATTACTAATAACTCTGTTTTTATCAAAAGAAAGAAAATACGAGATGATTCCATGGTTCGAACAACTGATCGATCACGGAGACGAGCTCTAGTAGGAACAACTGAACAAGTATTGACAATAATATCGAGTTTTATAATACTTAAACTAATCGAAATCAAACTTATGTCTGATGAAAAAAAAAAAAAAGAACGTTGCGTTTATCTTTAACCCACAAACTCAAAACTGCATTGGAACCAATCAAACATATAATTATCACAACAACATAGGGACTGATTTTTCAAGAAGTTTCGAGATTAAAATTCTATTAGCTCTTTCGCTAGGATGATAAGCATCCCAAAACAAATATGCAGATATATTTGGACATATCGATGACGTATATCTGTTGCACAACAAAAGGGTTTCTATCAGTCCTGTTCCACAACAACCTCTATCCACCACTTCAAATCCTGTCGAACAAAAAAGAAAATCATTTATCATCATATAAAACGATATGTCATAAATAATCAAATGATGATGAATGGTTATCTAATTACACACCGTATCTTTGTGGGCTTTGGATGAGCTCAAGGAGAGAGTTGTAGTAGTCAAAATACACCAACTTGGTATCTTGTAAGGTTGGTGATAGTGAATCCAACATGGAAGAGAGCTTTGAATTGAAAAGCTTTGATGCATTGTTGTAATCTTGATCACAATCTCTTTGAAGACCTCCTCCTAATGTTCTTTGTGATGGTAAACATCCAAATGGTGGTACACCTACTACCAGTATTCTTCTTGCTCCGTATCTATATAGTTTCTATATCATAGTAGATATAAATGAAAACTTGTTATTATCCAATGGAAACTATTTCAGTAAATGATATTCCTACAATTAAACACACGTAAATGAGACTTGAGCGTTGAATGGTTTTAATAACATTTTATTTTTTAATGTAACCATATACCCGAAGGATGAGAAAAAATATCATGCAAGAAATGAAACATACTTTCATGAAATCGGAGGCAAATTTAATGACGGAAGAGGTGTACGATTCGACGTCGTACTGGAGGTTTCCAGCCGCAGCGCTGGGCACGTCGTTGCTGCCGGAGACAACGAGGAATAAGCTTTTCGATATAATATCGTCCGTTGTTTCTTCCCCTCCAATTTTCTTCAGTTTTTCAATATACTCTTCTAATTTTTTTAACTGGCCCTCCATTGACAATGCTGACTATTTTTAGCCATATCATAAGGAAAATGGAAAAAAAAAAAGAAAAAAAATTGGTCAACGTTATATTAACTACTTTGTTCAACTGTAAACATAACATTTTAATTAGATAGTAAACGCAAATACATAAGAGTACTTAACAGAAGATATGTAGAGATAGAAAAAACTAAGTACAAATAAAATTATGTGCAAGGTACGTTATGCGGTTATGGTAATAGTATTACCCTGCTTTGGGATATCCAGGGATTAAAACCAGAACCACCAGAAGCGAAGCTAACACCGGTGAGAAGATCTTTAGATGTTAAAGTCGGATCTAAAGAGGCTGGTATTGTTCGTTTAATTCCCAAACCTTCCGCTGCAAAACGAGACTACTATATATCTTTCAAAAGAATTGTGTTGTGGTAATAATGAGTCTGTGCAACTATTACTTATTAGGCGCTAGAGAAATAATATATGAATGTGGTTTTTTGTTGTAACATAACAACGACCCTATTAAATCGGGAAAAACTTCACCGTCTCCGAATCTTCCGGTGGGAATACCACCTTCGAAATTGATACCGTAAGGTGGAAAGTTACATTTTGCGATCGTATTGAGGTAATTATTGTTTCCGGTATCGGCATACGAATCCCCGAACACTATCAACGCCGGAAATATGGCGCTTGACGGTAGACTTGCCGGTGCAGCGCCGGTGATCTTGAAGAAGACGTTAATGGATGAGAGAAACAAAATCAAGAACCTACTATTTTGTTTCATTTTTGTGAAAGGAGTAGAGTTCATGTTGCCCTTTTGAGCTTTGTTGGTCCCTCGTTGTCTTGTCTGTGTAGAGCTGTCGAAAGTTTGACCATGTTAATAAAAGTTGCGAAGATTAAGGAAAGCATTTGATAGCTCATGTAAGGTCAACTTTTGTGGTTTTGCCATGTACTCCACGTTCTGCATATTTTATTTCTGATTTGATTCGTTTCTTCTTTAACGTCACAACAGAAACTAGAACTGGAATTATTTGCTAAATCTTGAGGTAACTTTACAAATCGATCCAAGAACACATTATCTTTATTAAGTCAGATCATACTGAGAGTTGCGGACTCCCTCTTCTTTTCCTTTTTTTTTTTTTGGTCGTCAACAAAATAGGGCATATATAAAAACATAAAAAAAAAGTGTATATATAACTCACGGTGCATGTGAATGATAAGTGACATTTAAGGTTTGATAAGTAAATTAGCCATTGAGCCATCAAGGAACCAGACTGGATAAAATAAGACTGTTTATCACTCAAAAGACTTTCCATATACACACACACAAAGGGGAACCAACACCCACATGAGACAGGACCAAGAACTTATTTTTAATGTGATCAAACCCAATTCAATAACCAAATCTCATAACTTTTAATTGATGATATATGTCAAGCAAAAAAAGCAGGTAGGACGATCAATGCGCGCTAACGAGGAAAGGGTTTTGGCAAACTCCACACTCGATGGTCTCTGATCCTGAGACTGGAACCTGGACCTGCACAATTCAATGGAAATGATTTCATATTCGCATACATGGTACCAAGAGACGGTACATAAAGCCAACTTCACATTTCCAATCCGTCACCAGTCTCCTATCCAAGTCCTCCGATTATTATGTCAAATGGTGAAATCTCATAGATGCAAGATAAGATATCCACATTCGTCACTGCATTTGCAAGATGATCATACACACCAACACATATGACTATCCCTACGTGGACCACCCTGTTTTTGTTGTTCTCGAAAATATAGGGTCCGCAAATCATACAAAGAAAGACGGTTTATCAAAGGATCTAACCTGCAAGTGCACTGTGCATGTTGGACAAGCTACTTCCTTCATCCGCCTCCCAAATCCTTCCCTCGAACCTGTTAAAACAATACCTATCATTATCAGTGACCATAGAAGACCAGAAACAATAAATTAAAAGCATGAAGTATGTATATCAAAACATAAAGAATTACCAGATGAAGACTTGCGGTTTTTCTCCATTTCCTCCTGTGTTAAACATATCCGCAATTAGAAAACAATCATATGGTTTCTCCCGGAAATCAACTCAACTTCTAAATTATTAAACATAATAAAGAGCACTGATAAGACTCACTTGTAATTTCCTAGCGAGGTCTTCATGGCTCTGCACACTCATGTTCCTGCTAGCGGATTCCTTGGCATTACTCAACCTTTGCGACACTTCTGCCTGCAAATCAAGAATTCGATTTATAGGTAGCCACACTTTGTTTTTTTACTTAAGAGGCGTTCTCCGTCAGGACAAGATACTACAAATGTACTTTTAGCTAGAACAGCCGACCAAGGTTCTCCATGTTAAAGCTATTAATATACATTCTCAGGAATCCATGGATAATCATTCCTCAACTTAAGGAAATAGGAGTAGATAGGTAGAGCATACCATGCACCGGTCGCAAACACGGACTTGGGGAGCATTCTCCTCAGCAGTGAGAGCAATCCTACCTTGAGTGCACTTGTCACAGAAGACGTCACCACAGTTCCTGCAGTGATGCTGAGATAAAAACAACAATCCATAAGGTTTGTCAGTCCCGACATGGCTGAGAACTTAATTCCAGATTAGAAAATCAGGGGGGGAAACAATACCCTTCGCATAAATGCACCGAAATCTGATCCACACGATGTGCACTTAGAAACAGCTTCATCAGGGACCTGAAGCCAAAGATAAATGGAGTAAGAACAATAAAACCACAGCTAAACCACGAACGATAAGAATGAACGATGTTTTATCCCCAGCGATACTACCCTAGCCTATCGATTTGACAACAAGAGAGTTATGTTAATTTTCCAAAAAAACGGAAAATCCTACCCAGTGATCTTTCTCCTCATTTACAGGCTTTATAATGTTCATCCAATCACCCAATCCTTTCTTCTTCTCAGCAGATTGTTCAATCAGTTTTGCAGAAGCAGGAGGCCTGCTACTTCCTCCAATCTCCTTGGCCTAAAACCAATCATCAAAAAAAAAAACATCGAATTAGTAAAACGAAAACATGATGGAATTGGAATTTAGGCATAAACGATATAAACACGCAGGTTTAGGAAACCTGAAACATAGCAGCCGTCACTGTATCCAGAAGGGTGTTGGTGGTGTAACTATTTGATTGCAGTCTGATACGTTTAGCTTCAATGTCTACCGGAGTCTTAGACCAAAAGGCCATAATAGAAGAATCTAGTTTCTGACAGAGAGAGAATTACAATAGATATAAGACTTTCATTCGTGCAAATAAAACAAAGGAAAATCTTGGGAAGAATGTAGCTAAGCTCTTACTTCGCATCTTGTGATGTTTTCAAGAGGATATATTCTCAAAGTGCGGTTACTACTTGGGTCAAGCATACGGAGGCCATCCAAACCAATCTGCTATGACCAAAAAAAAACCGATTAACTAAAAACAGTTTTATGTAATGATCAGCTTTAGCTTAAGTATACATAAATCTCACAAAATGATCATACCATTATCATTGAGATTAGCTTAACACGAATAAGCAGATATACAACTCGAATTGACAAAAATTTACGCATTACCTGGCAAAGAACATCCGTGGTGGTCTGTCCGTAGGTCTCAGCCAACAATTTGACGCGGAATTTCTGCACACCACCCGTGGAATCTTCTTGCACATCAGCCTTGGGGACAGCTCTCACGATCTTGGCAGATTTCGAGCTAGCAGAGGAATCTTTACCCGAAGAAAAGCTAATGGAACGTCCATAATCGTCGAACAAGGTCGAATTGGAAGATTTCGGAGCTGTTCCACGAGACCCGTAGGGCTCCACTTTGCCTCCTTGATAAGCATAGACGCCATCACCATAGGAATCTTCATAAGCAGGGTACCCTCCGCTCTCAGTTCGTTTCCCGTACGGATCTGAGCCTAAATCCGATCTGCTCCGGCTGTAATCGCCATAAGCAGGTTGGTCGTACTTCACCGGCTTTTCGTATGGTTTCTCATACGAAGGAGGAATGGAAGATCCTCCGCCACTGTAAGGAGGTGCCGAGTACATGGAGGATGAGTAAGGCGGAGCATGAGAATGAGCAGGATTAGGATTCGGCGCAGAGACAGATGGAGGCGGAGGATGAGGTGCAGGAGAATAGCTAGAGGTCTGATGCTGATCATATGGTGGATAATACGTCGGGTGCGTGGTAGATGATGGCTGATACGGGGCAGTGGAATCAAACGATCCATAAGATGATGCAGGTGGATGAATCGCGGGCGGTTGGTTGAAGGTGGAATAAGAATTAGGGTTTAGAGACGTCGCCGGAGGAGAAGGAGGAGGCGGTTGTGCAGCGGAAGCGAAGGAAGGAGCTGAAGGAGGGGCATGATCAGTGTTTTGCCCGTAAGGAGGGTAATTCTGGGAATAATTAGAGTAATCGGCGGAGCCGTAACCTCCGGTGAAAGGTGGCGCCGACGCATACGTGTTTTGGGAAAGATCGGTCGGACCAGCAACGGCGGGCGCCGGCGGAGATGGGTTGGGAATAGGATTCGGGGTGGGATTTTGAAATTGAGTGTACTGGTGGTGGTAGTACGAATTGTAATCTCCCTGTTGCATCGCTGATCGGTGATTGGGGTTTGATTTGCTTTCTCGTCGGCGATTATTCGATCAGATTAATCGGTGAAGAAACGATGACGACAAAGCGTGGGAGAAGATGAGAGATGGATCGGGTCAAGGGAATATTTGGCGAGGGGAGTATTGTATGTGTCGCGAACTACGTTAAGCTTTTCCAAAGAGTACACGTGGCGTTATAAGCTACCGTTTATTTATTAGAAGTCGGAGATGATTTTAACGCGTGATGGATACGCCCACAGATGACTATATGCTGTTTTTCTGTGCAAGTGCGAGGAACCCAGTCGGACAAAAGATTAATTATACTCCACGTATGTTTTAACAATGGGATTTCGGTTTGGAAAACGCAATTGGGCTTTAAACGATACTAAGCCCAATAATTAAGGTTAGGTTAAGAGTCTAAAAGTAAGAAAGACCCAAGGGGTAAAAAGGGTGTTTCAGATGACGTAGCAATCTCGGACCGAGTTTCACGGCGATGATTAAATGACGGAAATAGCCCTTAAGAAAAATCTGACGATTAGGGTTTTCCTGTTCTCATTATTCCCCAAAAAACGTAAGTATAGGACGAGTCGGCGGATCTCAGTGTTTCACGCGTCTTTAAATACAGGCCTTACCCTCACCTTTATTTTCTCAACCGCAATTGGTCTTCCTTTTTTTTATTCTTCTCTCTCTGTGTTTTCGATTAGCAGCAATACGAATCGTGAAAAAACGAAATCAGGGCTCACTTCTTCGTCCCTCGCTTCGATTTTTTTGTTTGATTTCGCGCCACAAAAGGTTCCTTAGGCAGATTCTGAAACCTAGGTTCGATTAGTTCCTGTCCGTGTCCGTGTCCGTGTCCGTGTCCGTTTTTCTGTTTGACCGATTCGATCTGAGAAAAGGAATAATCAAAGCGATGCCGCGATTTTACACATCTCCACCGCCTGTGTATGCGAGGAACTGGGCGAACGGTCAGAACTTGGTCGAATCGACTAAGGTTCGTCGAGCACTCAGTTCTTGTGATTGATTCGCACGATGTTCTCTCTCTCCCGAACATGAGTTTTCATGTTCTGGATCTAATTCTGATGTTTAAAATTCCTTGATAATATCACTTGGGAGTTATTGCTAGGTTGCATATAAGATTCTAATCGTTGAAATTGAAGGAAAATAGATACCTTATTGTTTCTTGTTGAATTGTTACACTACATATGCCTGTAGATCTGTAAAATTAAGCTAACCCTTTTCATGATTTTGCATATCGATTTTGTTCCAGATTTCATTTCTAACGATGTCGTGCAAACATATATCTTGTTTGGTTTGGTCTACAATTATAGTCAACCATAGATAAGATAATATATGACTCTATTGTGTCCATTTGAGTGATGTACCCACGTATATGGGATCTGGTTGTTACCCGAAAATCTCCTCTAGTCTAAATCCTTTATTCTGATGGATTATAAAGATCGAAAGGCAAATAGCACCTTCTATAAAGGTGCACCGGAAAGAGAAGAAGGAGAAAAAGAGAGAAAAGAAACTTAAGAATGAGAAATCCAAACAGCAATATTTCCCGAGTACTAAGCAAGTCTCAGACGAATCTGAACAACATGAGAAGAGTTGTTTGACAGAAGAACATCACCTTGTTGGGTATTTGTCTGATGGTAGTCAGAACAGTAAGAAGAGAAGAAGGGAAGCTTCTCCTGTTGTTGACAGTAATATCAAAGGTTTGTGTTTTTTCTTGTTGGTCAAGATTTTTTTGTTTCTTGTACTATGCTTAATTTACTGAAACCTAGACATTTACATTTGCAGCTACGCCTGTAGCTGGTAATCCACTACGGATACGTTTTGTCTTCAAGAAACCAAAAGAAGCTGAGGTTGCTGTGCCTCAAGAGGATCGTGTTTGCTCCACTTCAGGCACTGATCGACCCAGTGAAATAACAAGTTCTGTCCCAGTTCTTGATGAGAATCTGCTTTCAGCTCCACTTGAGAATGGAAAGACTGCAATTCCTTCTGAATCAAATAAGAGAAAGAAACGTAGGACAAGCAAAGAATCCCGGTACAATTCATTGTTTGATGAATGTGTACTTCCCTCCATTTCGATGGAGGAAGAAAATGGCCACAACGATGATTGGCTTTTCTGTGCCAGAGCGCAAGAGAATGCTCCTACCAAGTCTAGTGAAGACATGGTCACGAATTTGCAGAAGTCGGGAGAATCCTCCTTGCCTAGAGCTCAATTTTTGCCTGAAGCGGGAATTTTTTCATTACCATATGCAGTCCTGTTTTAGGTCCCCATATTGTTTTGTTCTTTCTCAGCTTAGCCATAGGCCTTAGTTTTGTACAGTAACACTGATTGTAACAATCACAAAGATCAATAATACTTGAATGATCTCTGTATTTTTTACACCAATCTTCAATTAACAATTATTTTATACATTTTGCAAAGAGCCATTACAATAAGCCTATTATGGTCCCTGTCATCTTTGAGTTTATGATGTTCTCCACTTCTTTTCTCTTGAATGTGCTGGAAAGCAATATAATTGTATGAAGTCTTTTTGGATTCAAAGTTGACTTTGCTTAGTAGAGTTTGATCAGGCAGCCGGAGAAAACTAGCTGCATACCATGATTCTCAATCAGACCACAAGCATATAGAATTGGGAGGCAGAAGCACAATACAATAGCTTAAAAACAGAAATTAAAAATGCAATATTAATTAGATTCATATGTCAATACAAATGATCCCCATCAAGAACAAAAGAGAAGAGAGAGATTAGTCTACATAGCAAGAGTAGTACACACTGTGAACCCAAAAGATTCACCAGCAAAGAGTAAAAGACACAACAACACAGCTTGTTTTAGCAACTATACAAAAAGCTACTCGAAATGTCTCCTTCACGTCGGAATTATCATATTAAAATGGGGACGAATCAAATAGTCCAAATCATCTTCTTTCTTTTAGTTGTTTACCTAGTCTTAAGAGATATTTTCATCACAAGAACGCGCAACGATTCTTGTTCTTTTTCTTCTTCTTCTGCTTCGGTGGCTGAAGCACCACTTTTATGGCTGCATCAAACACTGCCTTCACATTCTGCAGAAACCCCAATAGAAGACACCAACAACTTCAGCCTCTTAACAAGAGTCTAAGCAAACAGTAAGAACCAGGACAAGCGTTTTTTTATTGTCTACCTGCTGTGTCTTCGAACTACATTCAATGTAGACCGCAGATCCAATCAGTTTCTTCAATTCCTCTCCCTGCATAATTCATAACAACATTAGACCATATTTCATCAAGAACTCGCAATAATGGCTAGCCTAACCGTAAGAGAATTAAGTACCTGATTTGTAGTAATCGGTACTGCACCCGGATGATCTATGAAGAATTGTTTGTCATCTCGAAGGTCTGCAAATACCGAAAATTTCACAACCTCACATAACCATACAAAACTTTGTAAGAAAAGTTAAGAACATGAACTAAGACCTTCCAGTCAAAAACAATAGTAGGAAAGAGTATGATTACCAAGTTTTGTTCCAACGAGGATAATGGGAACACCGGGAGCATAATGCCTGAGCTCAGGAATCCACTGAGAGTGGAGCATATAAAGAACAAAAACAAATTAAACCTATGTTTACACTCATCACAATTTATAATGGAGATTATTAACAAAAGAGCCAAACCTTCTTGGCAATATTCTCATAGCTAGCCTTGCTGATCAGAGAGAAAGCAAGGATGAAAACATCTGCACCACGGTAACTCAGAGGTCGTAGCCTGTTGTAGTCTTCTTGACCTATTTCAGACCCCAAAAGCAAACCAAGTCAAACCTGAAACAAGAAAAAATTACAACGGCGAACCGGTTTTTTCGAAAGATTTACCGGCTGTGTCCCACAATCCAAGATTGACTGTGTTGCCGTCTACAACCACATTAGCACTGAAGTTGTCGAAAACAGTTGGAACATAATCCTGAAAAACCAATATCAATCCACAGATTTACATTAAATCATCCTGTATATAAAAAAAAAAACATCACACTAGCTTCAAGATCAATGCTTTGAGCTAGATTCTCGAATGTGAAAACAGATGAAAAAAAAAAGGCTAAGTCCTCGGAATCACGAAATTTAAACGAGGCTGATCACTTTATAGTACAAAGCTCATAATAGAAGCCATGATTCTCCGATCCAAACCTTCGATTTTGTATGAGATGAACTAAATTGCAGTCTACACCAAATTTGAATATGAACTATGTCAGATGAAATTACTCATGAGCTTGGAAACAAAACATCGTCAATTGTAGATGTGTATCATTTCCCCCAAAAGTTACTAGCACATTAAAGATTGTATCTCCTAAATCCATTCCCCAGGAAGCTTCCAGATCAATAATATACTCTTGCGAGTTGCGACGAGCTTAGAAATTAGAAACAGAAGAAAGAAACGAAAAGTAAAGAGAAGAAGATTGGCGACGAAAATTACTGTGGGAAAAGTGTTGCTCGTGTAAGAAATCAGCATGCAAGTTTTTCCGACGGCACCATCTCCGACGGTCACACACTTTATGAACCTTGACGCGCTCATCTCCGCCGCTAAAAAGGAAAACAAACTCCGCCGGATCGAAAACGCTCAAAAAAATCCCCTTTCAGCTTCTTCCTCAAACCATCGACATTCCTAAAGAACCAAATCTAATTCTCTCGTTCACTAAACCGAAAATCGAACTCGCAAGCTTGTGAATCTGAGAAACCCCAAAATGTAGAGAAGAAGGGAGCAAAGATTTCAAAAATGGCAAAGCGTAAATCGATGAGAGAAAGAGAGAGAGAAGAAGAAGATGCTTTTTTTTGGCGGTTGATTGATAAGACTTTGAGATGAGTCTATAGACTAAACTCTAAATACAAATACAACTATGCGCCAGCTAATGGCTACACACCAAACACCTCCTTATCATATACACTCACCCACCTTATTGTATACTATTTTGAATTTATTACTTTATATATATATATATATTCACCACGTATTTCGTGTTTTTCTTCTTTTTTTTTTCAAATTTTTGAAATCTCTTTTTGCTTTCTTTTATGTTACGGATTTGAATTTTGAAAGAGGATCTATGCGTTTTTTAAAAACAAGAAGAATACAGAATGTCATGAATGTTTTGCGTTGGAGTATTATTTTCGGGATATTTATATTTACTACACGGTGTATTTATTGAATTTCCAACTTCTTTTAAGTTTTAAAACTAAAATATGCAGAATGTCATGAATGTTTGCACTATTACCTTCAGAGTGTCATGAATGTTTGCTCTACTATCTATGCTGTATTCAAATTTTTAATGTTAAGTTATTTTTGCTATATATTAGGGACTTGACTAAAATTTTCAATTATTATCTCTTCAACATTTTGGACTAATCATTTAACATTCATGTATGTAACTCAGAAGCTTACAACAGCTAGTTTAGTTTAGATGAACCGTATGATTCGTACTATTACACCAAACATTTTTTTTTTACACCAAACATTTATCATAAGGTATTCGGATCCAATTCCAAAGAACTGATGAAATAAGGTAACATTTTGTGCTCCTCGAACACCATAGCCATGTGATCACGTTGCCCGATATGAAAATATTCGCTGACGAGTGGTCATATGTCGAACTTGCCTCAATTTATCCACTTTTTGATTAGTATTTAGACCATGCAATAACGGACATGACATCCCCGACATTAACTTATTTATAATATTCATACTAACTAGGAACGTATAATATCAGCTCATTAAAGCCTGTGATAGTTGGTAAACATTCTAACGTCTCAAAACTAAAAATCTTTCTGGAACAACTTGTTGTTTTTAGTCATGGAATTTGAATTCATGTATTGGGTAATGAAGGCTCCTATTTATATTTGGATTATTTAGAGTGAAACATAGAGATAATCATTGTAATAAACTTTTTTCTCTATTTTTAGAGTGAAATATAAAAAAAAACAATTAGAGATTTCCTAGCAAAAAAAAGAAAGAAAACAATTAGAGATGCTTTACAGTCATCTAAACCAATATCTAAAAGATACTATATGATTAAAACGGGTAAGTCTCTTATGTGTTTTTTAATTTCGCCGTTGGTAAGTTCAAATGATCTACGAGAGACTTGTAGGGGAAAAAAACAAATAAAGTGATATAAGAGAGACTTTACAGTATAGCAAAATATAAGGAGGTAAGAATGAAATCTGTAATCATTGGATTTGGCAACTCTCATTAAGGACGTGCCACTTAGTGTTACGGCACATATCCTAAATATGATCGCATTCTTCTTATTTTTTTCTTTTTTTAAGAAAAAACTTATCTTGTTCTTTTCATTTCCCTTCGCCTTCGGAAATATAGGCGACGAGTCCAAGGGGACGTGCCCGACTCTACCTAAACTAACCAATAACGATCCGCCACGTCACTGAATGTCCCATCACCGAATCATAATCACACTAGACGGTAGCTTCGTTGTTAAATTTGATGAATCATAATTAGTATAGCTAATTGACATCATGTGTTGTTTTTAACTTTTTCAATCCACATCTTTTATTTTTTTTCTTCCAACAAGTTTGATGGTGTTTATAGACCAAAAGCGATAGCGTATATTTTGTTGACAAAATTTTGTATTATGAGTAATCTGCGGAATGATGGGAAAAAAATAATTCTGTAAGTATTTATCGATAAAAACACACTGTGGAATACTAAGTAATAAAACATAAAACGCAATATTAATGTTAGAAGTAAAAATTCCTTACAAAATGAGCAATGGTAGTAGTACATTTGTACAAAAATGATATTTTAGAATATATTTCCAAACCACTCATTTTGAATCTGATTGTATGATTGTATGCAATCTGATTGTATGCAGTACGTGTGTGGAATGTACAACTACTAAAACAAAAACTGAAAAACATACGGTATTATGGTAATCAGAACGAAAACGAGACAGAGAGGTTAGAGGAAGTATTTGCGGAATTAGATTAAGAAATAGATTAGAAGAGAAAGTGGGGAAGGTAATGAGTTAACCAAATCATTATATCGGAGAAGTTAATCTTACTACATCTTTTCCTCCTCTTCCCTACCAACGATTCACCAACCATCAACGATCCCACTTTTCTTTATCAACTAACTCCAGCAGTCCAGCTCATTTTTATTCAAGATAATAAAATAAAATAAAAATTTAATATAATCGTTAAACTGATAACCAGAATCCTGTAAATACCAACAGCAAAATAGGAAGTGCAAAACTTAGGATAAATATGCGGAATGGGGAAAATAACGTAGAAACGCAAAAATTACATTAGTTTTGGCTACAAAAATTATAAGCAAAAAAAAAAACTAAAGTATTTCCAAAAGTAGTAGTAGTACATTTGTATAAAAGGCATGACATTTTAGAATATTTATTTCGTTGATTTTGATACTTCAGACAAGCCAAACATACTCTACTCATTCAAGCTTTAACCTACTCATAGCTTTGTATTCTGAATACGAAACTCCGAATAAAAATGTTCCCACGGTCCTTCCGAGTTCCGAAAACCCGGATGACACCGGAGCTTTGTGTATTTTTTTTTTCATACATTTAGCCAAAACAAAATAAATAAAAGAATTGGCCCAATAATTGCCAAAAAAATCCATTTGAATTAAGGAAGAGGCCCATTATACTCAAAACCAAGTCATAGCAACAGGTAGCAAATAACAAAATATAAGGAATCTAGAGATTTTACGTACAGTGCAAGAATTTCGAAACCAAAAAGTGTTTCTTCGTAAACACTTAGAAAGATAACACGAACCTTTTGAGTTTTGACTCAAGAAGAAGTTCTCCACTGAAGCTCAATCTGAATCCGGCCATTCTTTGAATCAATCAGATGATACTTATCGTTGATTCTTCGATTACTCACAACATCACCAAGATTTATCACCACGTACCCAAGAGTTTCCTGATCAAAGGAAGCCAACTCAAATATATCAATTTTTTTGTTCTTGTTTGCTCAAAGATCTGATTTTGATGCAATCTTTAAAGGGATTCAAACAAAAAGATATATTTTTTTCTATACCTTAGGATGAATTAAACCCATTCGTGAAGAAGTACTTATGACCTCAACGTGAAGCTTATCGTTTATGGGAGGCTCATCTAGTGGAAACTGAAAATCTTCATCCCATCTTGGCTCTCTGTTTTTCTTCACACGCTGCAAATTCAAGCCAAATGTGTTTCAAAACCCAAATGTTGATGTCTTTTTCACATGTAAAGATGCATTTTTTTTATTTATTTTGAGGTTTAAGATAATTTTTTGACCTTTGTTTTACGTTCTTCTCCTTTGAACAGCAAACGAACAGAAGGATTTGTGTGATATTTGCCTTCTAAATCTTCAGCTTCGTGAACAATAACCACAAGCAATCCACCACCAGAAGGTGTTCCTTCTGGTGCTTTCTCAACTGCATTTGGATCATCTACGTTGTTTGGAATGTCATCTTCTTTAAAGGGTTTATATTCGACTTCCACAACGAGCTGTCCACGCGATTTCTCGCTAACCGGCTCGTTTGGTTCCATTGATTTCAAGAGCTCAAGTGTCATGAGTTTTGGCTCCTCTGGTGTAAGGTCTTTGATAGGAATCACATTCATTCCAATCTTATCATGTTTACCAACCTGAAATATTGTTCAAGAACGGGACATGAAAATGTTCTTCAAAGATTTACCGAAAAAGATTTACAGGCTTAATTAATTCACAAAAAATTGTTGTTACCTGTTCCCAGTCATAAACAATGAGCTGCAGTTCTTGGCTCTCTGGTTCTTTGACAACTAAATCGAATTCTTCATTCCATTCAGGATTTAGATTGCTGTGTTTAACAACTGTCTTCTTACCAGGAACTTTGTCTCCAGAGAGTGTTAGTTTCACATAAGGGTCTGATCCGCCGAGAAGATCTTTCTTCTTTAGCTTTATTGCCTTTATGACCTTCACGTTAAGCAACCCAACAGGTTTCTTCATTGCTCTGCAGATCAAAAATATCAAAATTAAGCAAGGTTATCAAATATTAAATAGTAATTGAAGTGAGAAATTTTACTCCAAAAAAAAAAAAAACTTACTTAGAAGGATCCATTATCTGTACATTCAAAGTCTTTGGCCAGAGGTACATATTTGCAACCTGATCTTTAATGAGTTCCTACAATAAGAGGGAAAGCCAAGAAACGGTTCTCCTAGAGTTTCAGGCTCGAACAAGAATGTTTATTTAGACTTAAAGGTAAAGAAACAGCTTCCAAAACGTCATACCTGGACAAACCGGTACAATCCAGGAATCGCCATTAAATCTGCACCTAGTAACTTCAGTCCAAAATCTACTTGAGGCTGCAGAAGAAACCACATTTTATACTTTATGTGTGAGTTTAAGGTGTTACACAGGAAAACTTTTCTCCGTTTCTGATTATACCTTATCCATAAGGGAGACAAATATGTTGGCAAAACAGGGGAAAGATGGGACCAATGGCTTCAGAGTAATCCTTGGAGTGGCATAAACTTGCAAATCAACCACCTGATGATACAATCTTGCAAGTAATCAGAAAATATTACTTAAATTCTTGGCGATACGGCGATCAAAAACTTACCTGGACAGTGGCTTTTAACCCAAATGCTTTGGCTGCAACAATGATATTTGGGTTCCCTGCCCACTTCACTGATAACTCCATGATCAGCTCTTTGTCATCAGTTGCATAAAATTTCATTCCTGCAAATGATAGCGAGAATCAAAATCAAACAATTTTTTTTTCCTTAAAGGAAGAAGAATCTGAAGAACAAGAATGTGTATCTATGAGTGTTAAACACAAGGAGAAAACCTTGGAAAGTTGGTGGTAATGATCCCAAAGTGAGCATTTCAAATT